GTGTTATGACATGTTTATGACAGTGTCATGACAGTCTTATTCACCCCCTTCAAATAAAGTGTTACTGTAAACGGTAAGATGCTACTTTCAAGTATGGATAGTTTGCTTCCTTTTACTTTAGCACTTTGAGAGGATTCTTTTCTTGTTTACCTGTTTTTGTTGATCTGTTGCAGAACTTCTGCCCTTCCCTCAGGTGACCCACAGGGGGCGTGCTGTAGCTTGTTGTGGGGCCGCTCAGTAGATGTGTTGGAGCTCTAGCAAACAGACAGGAAAACAAATCTTAGTCACCAGCCACTCTTCCAAACTTGGGTCATCATCTCAATAAATCCAAGCAGCCTATCTGTTAACTCTGTAAATATTGATTTACTTCTTGTAAGAAAAATACTAAGAAGTATTGGCATATACATTCTACTAGAACAATGATCTGCAACATTTACAATCCAAAAAAAAAACAAATTTTGCTCTGAGTCCAGTTAAATAAAATAGTTCTTGAGCCACAAATATTACTTTGAAAAAATATATTGCAAATATATTATTTTTTAAAATATATATTTTTGTACGTTTAAAGAGCAACCATTTCAGTCTTACTTTCAGATCTTAATATGAAGAAGAATATAAAACTTTTTCAATAAAATGATGCCTACACTTTCATACATGGGACGTTGATATTTGCACAGTTTCCAGCCTAGTAACAGGACAAATAAATCTAAATGACTGACATATTTAGTGTCTTTCTGTTGTGAAGGTTTCATGTAATAATTTCCTGCATTTACTCTTAGCCACAAGTTGCAAAGCCATGTACTAGAATACAATGTTAGAGGCTTCACATCTGCCAATTACTGAAACATAAAGGCTAGAGGGGACGTTTATGGACACAACTTCTAGTAATATGAGTTTTGTCCCTAAAAATAAGACCATATATTTATGAATTGAGTTTGGTAACTTTGTCAAATAAAATGACTGGGAATTTCTGTTTTGTGCATGCGTGCGTGCGTGCGTGCGTGCGTGCGTGCGTGCGTGCGTGCGTGCGTGCGTGTGTGTGTGTGTGTGTGCGCGCGTTTGTTTGTAATACCTTGTGGGGACGATTTTCCTGACACATACTACATTGTGGGGACCATTTGCTCCTTGTGGGGACCGGAGCCTGGTCCCCACAAGGAGAAACCCTGTTTGTGGGTCAGGGGTCAGATTTAGGGCTAAGGTATGAATTGAGTTTTGGTTAGGGTTAGGTATGTGATGGTTAGGGTTAGGAAAAGGGTAAAGGTTAGGTTTAAGCTGTAGAAATGAATGGAAGTCAATGGAAAGTCCCCACAAAGATAGCAACACAAACATGTGTGTGGGAGAGCGTGTGTGTGTAAAAAATCCATGGCATATAAGTGTTTGTAAATCAGACTGGTTTGTTATCAATAATTTGTATCACCTTGTAAACTGAGATTTTATTGTGTGTAAGAATTTATTCATGTGTATTAAAAAAATGTGCCTGTAAAAAGTAATTACAAAAGTTACATTTTTTTTTGTTAAAAAAAATACAAGCACAAAACTACAAGAAAAACTCTTAAGTTCTCTTGCTTGAATGTGAGAATGTCTTCCTCTCAGCTGATGAGTCACCGTCATGTTAACTGCAAATTTTTACAATTCAATGAGAGAAAAAAAAAACGCTTCTGTAATCACCTCTAACAAGCTCACATCTTTTTTTTCTACACATTAAGTCACATCTATGTGGTCTAATTTACAAGGATGAAATAGAAAAGATTGGAAGTTGTACATAGAGACTTTGTTTGTGCAAGCTCTAAAAGTAAGATCCAAACTTCCCCACGATGTGTTTAATATGTGACTGGAGGAATTAGTTAATTATGTCATCGTGTAAGGCTTAGAAACATTTGTCATATTTTAGCCCTAAGCAGCTTAATAGTTAATAGCAAGAGTAGTTTTGAAGATGCATATTGTGCAAACAATACACAGAAGACATTTTTTGCAGATGAATTATTTTATATTGCTGAAATGAACAGGATGTGTAAGGCAGTAGCTTCATAACCCATCCTGCCAGATGTTTGATCTGAGCTGAACAAGTTAGCTTTTTAAAGAGCAAACTAAAACATAACTGTAGATCCTATGACATGAAGTTCAGAGTGAGAACAAATATTTAAACTTTCACCTAAACAACAACCTCGAGCAGACATTTACAATTCTAAAGTTGAAGCCAGAAAATAAAGAGTGAAGAGCCCACACCAGCTGACCCACTGAAGGAAGGAAGCTGTGACTGCAGAAGAACATCAGACCTGTTGGCTGGTTGAGCTGAGCAGAGGCTGTGGTCTGACTCTCTTACTCTTCACGGTCTGACTGGCTGCTGTTTTGGAGGGAGATCTGCCCTTGTTTTCTTTCACTCTTCCTTTAAGTTGAGCTCCATCAGATGAGGGATTTATGCTTTCCACACTGAGTTCCAGTTGCTTGATGGACTCCTCCAAACTGTTCATTGATTCTAAGGTGTTCTTGCGGAGCTCCTCCACCCGAGGGTACGACTTTGAGAGGCTTGTACCTGCAGTGATGTCTCTGTCAGAGGAATTGTCTGGGAGGAATTGTTGACTCACCTCATTGGTCTGTTTGCTTTCTGTGACTGGTCTGTTTCCTGCTTTCTGCTCTTCGTCACGTGCAACTATTTTAGAAACCTTTTTCCCTTTTTTGTTTGTTCCTGTTTGGATTACCTGGCTGAGGGCAGCCAGTTTGTTTTTGGGGAACTTTATACTAAATTTTTTTTTGGAGCACATTTTCATGTTCATATTTGTCTGATCCAGGCCTTGGATTTTAGAAACAGAGTCACAAAATGATGCAGATTGAGGAGAAGTCTTCATATTTCCTAAGATGTCAGAATCAGGTCCAGTGGGAGATTTTAATTTCAGATCTAGTTCTTCCTCCAGAGTCCTGTTGTGAGCCAGAAGCTCCTCATCCTCTTCCTCACACTCAAAGATGGTAGACAGAGGAACATAAAAGGGCTCAGGGTCCTCTATGAAAACTATCACAGAGTCTTCATCAGATTCATCATTATCTTGAAAACCACAATGAATATGTTCCATGTAAGAGCCTTCAAAATCAGTCATATTACCTGGCTCCTCCTTACCAAACTGTGAACTAATGTGTGTATGGGGGATTCTATGAATACATTCAGGAGTCTGTGGAGAAAGAAGAGCTGCTCTGTCATCTGTAGCTGTGAAGATCAGGCTTCCTCCTTCTCTCCATGCTGGTTGATCTCTGGATCCTTGTAAAGCTGCATCTTGTTCCTGCTGCGTGCTGCTTGGCCCGTAGGCGACATCAGACGAACGGGAGAACGGTTTGGGGACTGAAGGAGAAGTTTCATGTTCGTGAGCAGAACTCCAGAGCTGCTTTGGCCCTAACCTTGGCGACAGCTGGATCCGGCGCTCCTCATGAACATTTTCGTTTTGTAAACATGAAACCAACATTCCATTCGCCCTCTCATCAAGAGGATTCTTGATAAATGCATTTGTCTGTTTAGGACTTTGATTTTGTTCTTTTAGAGGAATTACAAGCTTTTCAGCCACAGCTGAGGAGAGTATATGTCCAACTGCTTCGTCCTCACACTGATCAGGCACGTTCATAACAAGAATATCTTCTGTCTGTTTGGCTGGAAGTGTAAGCAGCTCCCTCTCCCCTGTCCACACCTTCGCCACCGTGGTGCAGTTTAAGGAAGGCACTTGCTGAACCTCCATCTTGGCTAAACTTGTTGTTATCTTAGCCCTGTGAAACGCTGTCACCACACCTGGAATCTGGGCTTTAAAAGAAGAGACGTTTGGATGTTCAAACTGAGGAGTGAACCTCTGTCCACATTTTGCCATGTCAGAGGGACACATTTTGGTAACGGGTGGAGGTGTCTTTCCATTTCCACTTGGCAGATGAATTATATTTGATATTTCTTTAGACACCTAAAATCAGAAAAAGTGACATTAAACTGGTTTTCATCCTAAAGTTAAAGACATGGGACTGTTTTCCTTAGAATTAGATCCCATTTGACTTGACAAACTGAAAAATCGTGTCATTGAATTCCTGAATATCAAGCAAATGATACAGTTAAACATTAATGTGGAATGTAATCAAAAAGTATAATTACGCTGACACATAAACTAAAACATCTTTACTGTCTCATGTGGGAAACAACAGCACTGCCTGAATACTTTAGTTAGTCATTGTTTGATGTTAAAAGTATAAACCTCATTAGGCCTACATTAGACACATAACTGCAAAGTCAAAGATCCTGCAGGACTCAAACATGGTGCAAACTGTGCAAATGACTAGAAAACTTTTTGCAGCAGAAAGTCCAGAGGCTCTTGAAGAACTGCCTTTTGGTTAAGGCAGAAAAGTGGGACTTTCTTATCACTTCCATAACTTTCTTGGATATGCTTCCTAGTGTGGTTTCAATGAAGATCCTGAGTACAGGAAGCAGCTGCAATGCTTCCTGGGTTTTATTAACTTACATAAAAAGCTTTATTGGTCCTGTTGCAGCCCCTCTGGCTGCTCTCAGCTCACTGAAAGGCCTTTTGTCTGATCCACAAAGACTATCAAGCCTTTCTGGCTACTCTCATACAGCAGTCTGAACGGACCAACTCCAATCTTTCACCCCACCTCCAAAATCTGATTTGAACCACTTCCATGTGGAACCAAAATCTGAGAGTTTTCAAAGCATCTGCAGTCTGAACAACCATTGCCACATTTTATCCGACTTTTATCTTATTGATGCGAGACATAATTCTGCTCTATTAAAAGCCAAACATGGTAAATCTGTATGCAAATAATAGCTGAATTTTATAACTACGAAGTTTGTGAACTTATGAAAGCAGTCTGAGTCAGTGTCACTTTGACTGGTGGAAGCTCTGCGTTTAGAAAGGAGGCAAGGCAACAAAATACAGTCAAGGTAGATTTATGCTGCAGGTCACATTGACAACAACATCCATTCCCTAAGTGAGACAAAGAAGCTGTTTTTTATACTTTGGGCAATTCCAACTCTCATACCAGGTAAAGGGGTTGTCAAAAAAACAAAACAAGAAATAAACATTATTTACACAAACTTAACAAAACAACAAATGGTACCAATATATATTTACATGCATGCAAATCATTAGAACTAAACTAATCTAAGGTCAATCAAAGAATAAATTGAACTTAGTCTAACTCCTCAGAGCATTACCCCTCTAATTGTAATGGTGTGCTCCAGGAGCTTTCAGCAGAACCTTTGCTGCTCCACTCTACTGAGGTGTTAGCAAACACAAATTAAACCAATCTAAATCAGAAACAAACTGACCGTTTCCCCACATTCTCCCTATAAAGGAAGGATGGCCAGTCCCTCTGCTGGAAGAATGTTTAACTAAATGTCACAATGTAACTGAAATAAAGAGCTGAAACAAAAAGCATTTGGCCTGTAAATAGATTCAACATAATGTCAATAATCATTTATTATGATTATTTAGTAAAGTGCATCACATCACAATCCCACCTCCTGGTCCGACTCCACATCCAAACAAACTTCTCGAGAGAAGGTGCAGTTAATGCTCCACTAAAGGCCACTGCTATTGGTTGTGCTTTCTTTTTATTATCTTCCTTCCCCTTGTTATGATTTTGTGACACTCATGTTGGTCTCCATTGCTGAATAAACTTTCCATATAATAATATCTATTATTACTTCCATAGACGGAGCGCTGCATTGTGACCTCCTTCTTCTGTGCATGCAGGTCATTTTGAGGTGATAAACCATTCACACTGAAGTCTGATTGCAGTCGCATTTAATTAGTAGTACAAACAACCACACACATAAAAAAAGGATTTCAAGAAAAAAATAGGAATTAAGCATTAACAAATGCATAAGTAAAAACAAAGCAAATAATATCTGAGACACTGGAAAAAACTCTGGCCAAGTAGATCTAAAAATAAATGTAAACAATGTGACTTAAGATCACAGAATCTAAATAAAAGTGCTTTGTGATGCACATGAAGCCTCACCTCTGACCTTTAACATTCATTTAACTTGTTGCCTGCCACAATAAAAATGTCATTTTTAATCTTCTGAATAAGAATGCAGCAACTTTCAGTGGATTTGACCAAATTTTCACAGGCAAAAGCCTCAAGTTCTCTTGTGAATGTGGCAGAATTTAAAAGAGACAAATTCATGATTTGGGATTTTATAAAATTTTTCACCAACCATAACCCTAACCCATGGAAAATTCATCAAACATTCTTGCTTACATTTGTGACAAGTTATAATACTGATAACTTGTCACAAATGTTATCCATGTTTTATTTTCTGAATAAAATATGGAAAAAGGACTAAGGTGAACAATTTTTGTCTACATTAACATTGTTTAATGTAGGTTATCAATGCTACCAATTAAAATACTTGATACTATGTGTAATTTGAAAAAGGTTACGAGTCATTTGAGTCTTGCTGTACTTGTACAGTATCCTAGTAAGTAGTATTAGTTAATGACCACGTTGTGCTACCTTTATATAATATTAAAATCATGCATCTTTGAGGAAAAACTAAACACAAAGAGTTTTACATATAGAAACCCAGAGAGTTTGACTCACTGAACTCATTCAAGCAGAGCAGAGAAATGTGGATGTACTGTTTTGTTGAAAAAGTGTCCAATCTTGTTTGTTCTTTTCTTCTTCACCATTTTGATTTTACTCTTTTACTGTGTTGGTTTCGTGTTCCATAAATAAAACTCACTGTAACATTCACCTTCCATTTCCTGGTTTTTGTCCCTACCTGAATCCCATCAGTCTCTCTGGAAGTGATGATGATTGGTTCTCCTGATCTAAACGAAGAAGAGACACTGGAAATAAGAACCACAACAGAAAGAGTAAAATACATAAAAAGGACTGATAGTTCTTAGTTTGTCAGGATCTTCTTCTGATGCATGTTAATCCACTGACCTCTGTGGGGGAGGAGGGAACTTGCTGGCCTGCCTCTTGTCAGTGGAGTGGCGGGGTTTCTCCGCCTGTGGCCGCCTGCTGCTCTCTGCTGGTGGACAAACAGCTGCAGGTGGATCAGCAACATCTAGAAAGCAAGAGAAATGTTGAAGCATTTCATTTTTAAGAATGCTTTGACAGTTACTATTTTAAATCCACATATCCTCCTGTGTTTATGGAACATAAAGTTTTGGCACAATGATGAGACACATGAACCTCTATCAGTTTCCATCTTTCTCTGATGTAAGTGTGATGAGGTTTATGTTCTTGTTACCAAATAATGCACAATACAGCGAATGACAATCATCAATCAAAAACATCTTTATGGAACCCATTAAACATAGCTAAGTAATAGATGTTAACATATTTAGAAAAGTAAATATATCTTACTATTTTCAATTTTACCTGTGTTTGAACTTCTTCTCTCCCTGGAGTCCACAACAACACTTTGCTTTAAAGTTGTGTTTTTCTGGGTTTCAGAAATATCTGCTGAGTTATTAACAAACATACAGTAAGCATTTATTAAAAGGTTGACTAATACTTATAAAAAATATTTTCAGCTAAAAAGCTATTCTGGAAAATGAAACAAATACTAATTATAATTTGTGATAGTAAATAAGTATGCTTGGGGAAATTGCTAAATTTATTCTCTCTGCTATAAACATAACTAACCCCTAATCCTAGCAGCAGACACTGCAAATAAGCCTGAGCTATAAGTATTAAATTATTTAGTCCTTCTTAATATTTAAACTTGTCATTATTCACATATCTGCAACTTGTGACTCTAGAGCCACAACTGGCTCTTTGGACTTTCCACAGTGGCTCTTAATAACTTTGACTAAAATTGATTTTTTTTTTTTTAATGGACGTTTTAAAAGAAGGTATAATAACAAATGCGGGTTTGAGATAATTTTTCAGTTTCCACATGAAATTGTTAGTTTAATTCTCACAAAAAAATGACACTAAAATTTCAAATCAGTTTTATTTAGATCAATTTTTCTTGTTAGGTGGGAAGCTATGTGCAAATGTCAACATCCCACATAAGAAACTGTAGCCATAATTGTTTAGAAAAAGTTTTATGGTTTTCTTTATATAAAAATCTGAAAATATGGAGAAAAGAAGGTTGCTCTTTAAAAATTACAACAGATTTCCTGCAGCATTGATTGTCAAAAATTCTAAGATGTCCTTTTTCAAGTAGAGGCCATATTTGTGGCTCTAACCCCTTTTTATTCAGATGGACTGTGGGGAAAACCCGTCTGTTTCATCCTGTCCTCAGTATACATTTCACCGCCTCTTGAACAGGGAAGTCCTTTGAAATTAAAACAAGCATTTAAGCAACCAAAAAGTAGAAGAAAATCATTCTACGAAGGGGAGCAGTCTGAAGTGCAGTTCTACTGTACTAACTGATTCTACAGGCCTACCTCCATGAATCAACTCCACAGGAGTGTTCTGCTGTGACGGTGATGCAGAGGGAGACTTCGTTCCTGAGGCAGTGTACTCTGGCACATCCACTATAGATTTTGTATCAGTGTTTGGTGTCTCCTGAAGGTGGACTGACTGGCTGTGACTGGGATCATTACTCTCCTGCTGGGGGTCTTGGCTGGTACTGGACTGGTTTACACTCCTGATATCTACACACACACTGCCCTCTGGAGTTGGTCTGTGTGTATTCTGTAGATAAGACAGAACAGAGTAACTCTGTGGGTGATGAACAGAAATATGAAGTGAGAGTGTAATCAGTTTCCAAAGCAAAATGATACATTGTGGACGTGCATCATCCATTCACACACACATTCACAAGTTGATGGCGGTAAGATACTGGATAGCAGCCACAGCTGCATGCATCAACCCCACTGGCCCTCTGACCAGCAGGGATCCAACCAGCAACCCACCAATTCCAGGGCAAACTCCTAGCACCATCACCACCACCACCACATAAACGGAAGATTTCCTTTTGTATTAAAACAAGATTCTTAGTTTCGCACATAATGTTTGTGAGGGGGTGACGCTTTTTAACATCTTGTAAAACTAGTGTTAGGTTAAATAGCAACAGTTTGTTGCATTTGTATATTTAAGTATTTTTATTTCCAGACAGATTAGTTTACATTTCTATTTATCTGTTTTGTATTTCCTTGATGTATTAAACATATTGTATGATTTTGTATATATTTAGACAGACAGAAATAAGCTTTATTCATCCCTTTGGAATTTACTCTCAAGGAAATTGTGGTTCAGTCTCATACAGCACCAATACATCAAATCCATCCATCCATTTTCTCATTTTCTAACACCCTTGTCCCTTAATGGGGTCAGGAGGTGCTGGTGCCTCTCCAACTAACGTTCCGGGTGAGAGGCGGGGTCACCCTGGACAGGTTGCCAGTCTGTTGCAGTACATCAAATCCTTAAACTATAACTATATACTATATATATATATATATA